AACAACGCGACTTGACGTAATTCGTATTCGTATTTGTATTTACTCGCACACACCGCGTTTTTTCCCGTTTTCCAACTATTGATTTTTAATCAAATACGTTTTGAATACATTTAATGACGTTATAAGAATACAATAATTAATAATGATTAATGATTTTGGACTTCGAATTTTAATATATAAATTATAACACGTCCCACTAAACCAAATTATTATACCAAACTAGATTCGACGTTCGACGTTACTGATGCTAAATAAATGATTGCTAATTAATTCAATACGTTCATATTAAATGTCAAAATACCAATGTAATTAAATATTTATTCAAGCAAAGTACATTCAAGTATCCACAGTTTAAGTCTGTGTTTTAAACACCTAACAAACTAATCAAATATTCTATCATAATTGAATCAATCTTCTTTTACATACAATTTGATCTAATTTAAAAGAATTAAACTCAATATGTGTACAATATACTTCATAATATTTTGATATACTATTATTTAATAAATAGGTAACATATTATAATTATATAGAAGAAGTTAATCATAACTATTCAGTGACTACAAGGTTCATAACTATATAGTACCTAGCATCAATCAGTAGTATATAAACTGTGAAAAATAAGGGTATAACTTAGTTTTTTGTCTTGCCAACCTCTATCATGGTTAAGCCTATTGTTAGGTTTAAAAAATTTATGTACGCGTGATGTTTGGATCTATAGAAAACAGATAATACAATATTAAAAAGATAAAAGAAATACCCTCAATTTGATAAAATTAAAATTAAAGATTAATGTGTAGTATATATTATATTTGTGTAGTATATGTTATATATTATAAGAAGGAATAGTAGATATGTGAGTACAAATCGATGATAATGTACATTTATATTTATATAATCTAATACACAGTGATATATCAACTAATTAATAATTATTGTATAACATAATATGCTTATTCTCATTTCTCTATTTTATATAATTTAATAAGTAATAAAAAGTGATGAAAATTGTCTTATCAGCAGAGATCTGAGAGATTGACACAGCTATCAACAGACAACAAACATAATTTATCTTATTTCTTAACAATAGACACATAGTATTATGTAAATATAATAAATTCTAAATACTGATTGGAGAGATGATTAATAGCTATAAATAACTATCTATTAATATGAGAAACTTGCATGAGTGTTTTACCTTGAAACACTTGGTAAACTGGTGATTTGTTTTGTCTAACCGGAAAGTTATATTAAGACTCGCTAGTATATATATTCAAGAATTGGCATTAAATATTAATTTTATTGGAGTTGAATTTTCTTTTAAAATAAATTAATTTTTATTCAGTAATAATATTATTAAAGTTATGTTTGTAGCCTTGTAGGTACAAACACTTTATTTTGAGTAAAGTAACCTACAGGCTACAAGCATATTTAAAAATAAATTGTGTTAGTATTTACATCTATTATCACTATCTTTAATATTTAGCATTATACTCGTCAAGATAAATTGTATAATGAATAGAGTAATTTCAACAGTGTTAGTATAACACACACCTATGCAACTGTCATTATTTTTTTATTATTGTAAATTGGAATTTTATTCCGTTAATAAAATATTATTATTATTAATATTAATATCAATAATTAACAAAACATATTTAAAAATAAATATTACCAACAAATAGATTTTAACCATTGTGAAAAGCGTTAAGTTAAGTAATATCTGTTAATAGTTAATACATAGTAAAAATCATAAGAATTTTAAAAGGATTTAATAGTTTAAATGGAAATTAGTAATTACTAATGAGCAATAGCATATATTGCTATTATAGATATTAAAAAAAAATTGTTTGATTATTTTATGATTTTATGAGGGAAAAAAATAATAATTATAATTTGATAAATTGCCTATTTGGTTAAAAGATTTTCAAATATTATATTATTTTATTTCATAAAAATACAGTTAGATATATTGCACTATTTTAGTAACACTATAATTTAAATACCTACCAAAATATTATCATAGGTTAATATATTAAAAGGTTGTATTTTAGTTTGTTAAATATTTACTCATAATTCACAAGTGTGTATACCAGTTGTGTATGAGTTACCTTCTGACATTTTGTAATTTGAGCCATAAACTTTTAGTTTTAGAATTAGGGAATTGTATTTTATATCTTTATCTGATTTTATTAAATAAAATGTAATTGTTACTGAAATCTATAGTAAAATATCATGTTCAATAATATTGTTTATACAAAAAAAAATAAATAAAATTATATAAGTAAAATATTTTTTTTTAATATAAGTGTAAAATTTGGTGACTATATCAAAATACCTAAAAATTATTGCATAATTCTAAAAATCAAAAATCAAAACCATTTAAAAAATACTTTTTAGGAGTTGAAAGTTTATTACTGATTTATATTGTGTTGTAATACTAAATGACGTAATAAAATTAATGACCATTAGTATACAGTACATGAGCTATACAATTAAATGTATTTTATATGTATTGAAAAATTGATGTATCTATTATTCACTGTAAATATTATATCATTATTGATTATTATTTATTTTTAACATTTTGTTTTATTTAATTAACAAATAAATAATATAGTAGGTAAATTATTAAATATACCTAAATATAATGAAAAATTTTAAAAAGAAAATAATTAACTAATTAATTTATGGTAATAAAAAAGTAAATAAGTTCATATTTGATTTAGATTCAGTTATTCATACATTTGATAATTTAAATAAATGGTGCATGTTATTAAAATTATAAATATACATAAATATTAAAATATCAAAATTAACTAATGAAGAATCATTTATAATAATTTATTTAAATTAATTGACTTACTAAGAGAATGGCCAAATTAAAGAAAAGAATCAAAAATATTGTAGGCACCAATTAAAATTCAGGTCTGTGCCACCTATTTATTTACTTATTATATATTACAATTATGTATGTATCAAAATTAAACTATAAAATGAATCAATAATTGTAGCTTTATGATTTAAATAAATCTGTTAATGATTCTCAAAGTATTTAGAAAACTAAACAATTCTTAATTAATAAAAAATAACAGAATATATTTCCACATTTATTTAGTGTTTATTGGTATTACATGACCAACCAGTGAGTTGGCAATATATACTTTTCTTTTCAAAGTTCAAATTAATGAAAATAATAGGCATTTTTTTAAACCATGATTCAAAATTGCATTGAAGATTTAATGACAATTTTATGTAAATCTCATATAAAAGCTGATAGTGACAAAGTTATTGACAAATTTGTTATGATACTTCAATTAAAAATAAAAACTGTTTTATTTATTCAAATATAAAGATATTTTTAAATACTATAATATGTAATTTATTTTCAAGTATATCTTATTACTTTAATGTCTTAATAGTTACTTAAAAGATTTGAACTTTTTGTTACATATAATTATAAAACAAAATTGGTTTCTATAAATAAAAATATTTAAGTTATATTTTTTCAATTTAATAAATTAATAAATATAGTTCAACTTGTTAACAGAATAAAATACACAGTATTTACAAGTATATTTCTATTTCTTTACATTCACTATGAATGACGCCAATTGAGGTCATCTACCTTATCATTCAATGCATAACAATTTATTTAGCATTACAATCAAACTATTGGTTTTTTTAAATATTACTTTATATGAATGTGTAAACTGTACATTATCAAATTGATATTTTAACTATTCAATTTTTAAAACATTAATTTTTGCAATAAACACACAAATATACTGAAATATATGTAGTTAATGTGTTCAAACTCAAGTTTTAATTAATTAATTATTTTTATAAATTTAGATACCTATACATTTATTTTAATCTTTTATATAACTTATCTAAATAACAAAGTTTAGAAACTTGAACTACAGGTTTTAATGTTTTAATACTGAGTATATCAAAAATTAAAAATGACCCAATGACGTTACTATCATTGAGGAGATAAACAATTTTTCTTTTATAAAATATCAAATGAGTACCTCGATAAATATTAATCATATGTATTAAGATACCACGATTATAGGACATAGGTGTCCAATAATTCACTATCATAACTACTAGAGATAATAATGTTATGTAGTCTGGTAAGAATAAAAATTTTTATAGGTACTATCAGTTATCAGTTGTTTAGTATTTACTATTTATGTATACAGAAACATGGGCTATTAACTTGTTGTAGCAATATTAAATTACATTTTTTATAAACATAAATTCATTAATTAAATGTTATCATAATAGTAACTGTTAGCTGTTAAAATAGTTGCTATTATTTATATAATATCTTACTGAAATGGGTAATTACTTAGCCAAACAAAAGATGACAATGGATTATATTTAAATTTGGCAAACAATAAAACATATAAAGTACTAAAACAGTTATTAAACACCTAGGTACAGGGTTAAAGCAGGTTAAAGTTTGATAGTAAAAAATAAAAACTGTTGATATTATAAGTAGGTACAATTTGAACATTTATAAAAACACAAAAATAAGTAAATAGGTACCTCAAGTCTTTAAATAGTAGTCAAAATTACTTAACGGAAGCATATTATACTGTATGCATTTATCATGGTAGCTTGAATTAACGGATCATGTGAATCATAATAAACTAGATGAACTTACAATAATATAGTTAACATTAGGTGTATACGTAGGCTATGTCATATAAAGTAGATGAAAAATGAAAAAAAACTATACTCAAAGCATTGACCATCGTAGAGTACACTTAAAACTACGTGAAACACAGCATTACGTACGAAATTCACAACCGAGGATTTTAAAATATTTCCGATATGGGATGCAAATGACGTGTACTACGATTCCTTACACCGATCGTGGATATCACGTCGTCATCGCGCACACTTCCATCTTACCAAAGGGTATGACATGAATATTCTCAAGATGGTATGTAGAGGTACAACTATGTGATGAGCATAAGACATCTTACCTCGTTCGGTGCCGTCCATGGTCGATCCAGGGAAACTGCGGAAGCTGGACAACAGAGAGGTCGACGACGACGAGCCGCTGCTGATCGATGCTTGGACAAAGTCCCCGGAGACAAGGGTAGTGGATTCCCGAAGTTCTTATCGGCCGCGAACGGATATAAAACAATATTGTTATTATTACTATTATTATTATTATTATTATTGTTGTTTAGGAACGGAGAAGGGGTCGACGGACGGCCGGACGACGCGCACGCGCGCGTTTAGGAAAACACACACACGAAAACAGATAACGCGTCGATGTGCCAAGGTTGATGAACTAGGTCATTGAGCCTTTTTGGTCTCGCGCACCCGAACGATTCTCGCACGTCGAAGACGGACGACGGTGATCGACAGAAACGGCAGATTCTTTTAGCTTTTCTTTCGTGTATTGCGGCAAACCGAAATGGCGACGGAGTCTCCGACGGGCCCGACGACAAACGGTCCGAAAACATAAGTCGTACGCAGTAGGGAAGCGGGGCGGGGGACGGGCGCCAGGTGATCGTGGTCCGTGGAGAGCGCAAGCACGAGTTTGTATCGCTGCTGAGAGGGGGGTTGGGGTGGTGGCGGTTATCAATCGGTGTCGCGGTAAGGTTGGAGAAGGAGATATGGCCGACCTGTAGCACGGTCGCGGTCGCCACCGCCGCCGAGCGGTACGGTCGACGAGGTATCTGGTCGACGGTATCGCGGCGGGGACGGTCTGGTGGCGCGTTGCGGTTGCGCAATGCGCGTGGTATCGGACGGAAACCGGGAAGTGTTCAACGGCAGTAGTAGTGGCTGTCGACCCGCTGCGTGATCCCCCTCCCCGTTCCCTCCACACCATCGCGCGATTAGAAAAACGACTGTAAAACCACAATAATAACCGACCGAGTCCTCTGTGACAGCGTTGTCGTTTGATGTTTGTTATTACTTATTTGTATGATTTTATTCGTCGTTGCGTTACGGCAACCATACACGTCCTTAATCCACGACGTATGTATTCCACAAAATGATATTATATAGTGTACAACACGATATAATGTAAATAGTATAATATGTATAGTAATAACTAATAAACATTATAAATGACTTGTACACACTCATAGGTACACGAAAGTCATGCTGGTATTACTCATATACCCATTTTACCCACTAATTTTCAACACACACACCGTCGTCTCCGTCTAGACGAAACACATATATTTACATGTGTGTATACGACGTATAATGAATAAAACATATCACGAAGATGACGGTGAATTGGACGAATGAGACTTCGCGGGCGTACGGTTGTGCTTGCTAAGACTATATTAATTTTTAATTTATTGTTTTCAAGACGGCTATCGGGCTGCACGTCGATACCGATAACTTACAAGTCACATGATATTATAATATTATTAATGTAACAACTAACAGCAGTAAATTAGTACCTATCTAATAAATAGTATCATGATTAAACTTTTCAAATTTCATCTCCACCACGAGCGTAATGCTTACACGGCAGTTTGTAGTTTTTCTATTCTTCTTAGGTAGGTAACGAAAAGTTTCATGTGTAGACTATTGTATTTTTTATTTTTTGCACGAAATATATAATATTATTATTATTGTATATTAATAGTCGATTATCTACCTACGTAACAAACATAACAATCAACACTCAACAGAAAATTCACTAAAAGCGTTTAGATACCTGCATACTACATAAGTTAAGTAGGTACGCCTGACCTGAAATTCTGCGCATGCTTACGTCAAAAGCATTGATTTATTTTTGAAAATATAAACTAATAAGTAATAACAGGCATCTGTATCGTTTTAATATTTTAAAAAGAAATATAATAAATTATCAAGAGTTCATACATAACTAAATGTTTTCTTTAAAGTTTATTTTTTTTTAGTCGCGAGTAACGTTATTGTTTGCCGCCTTGTCAGTGAATCAACATTGTTTTTTTAAATCGATTTTATCGTTCAATAGTTTGTTGAGCTTGTGAATTACGTTAACAACGCGATATCCTCGATCCCGGTCAGCCAACGTTTATATATTAGGTAGGTATACTATTAAAATACAATAAAATAGTCTATTAGATACATATCGTGGTTATGACTTATGTTTAAAAAAAGAATTTAATTTGTATGATATTTTAAAATAAAAGTGACAAACTCTGATTTGTATTATTTAAATGCTTGAATAAATCGAAACCAGTATCTTTGACAAAAAAGTACTAAATATTTAGCATTTGGCCTTAAAAATACAATCTTATTAAATCAAGTATCCGTACACTTAAAAACAGTTTTTATAAAAAAAGTAACATTTTAATTTTATAGAGGTGTGAATTTATTAACGCACTTACTCTCAAAACAAATCAGTGTAAAATATATTGTAAGTAGGAATACACTAATGATAATTTAAAAGATACAAAAATTTTAAGCGTAAAATATTTTAAATCAAAAAATTATAACTTATAATTTAGTATGAATTTGTGTGATATGTGTGCAGACCGTATTGAATATATAAGATGAATTATGAAAAAAATGGCCGTCTCCCAATATGCGGTCTACCTCTGTTTTGCGTCATACCTAACTATAAATATGAGTATAGTATGAGGTCTACCAATGTTATGTGTTATATCTACTTATAACAGGGAATCCCGCTTCATTATTATTTATTAGTTTATTACCTACAAATTACATGGTATATTATGTTTTATCTTAATTTTTCATGATACATATTTTATCATGTAGGTAACAGATAATAACATGTAGTCGGTTTAGTGTGGTTTATAGTGAAACAACTTATTTTTTTTAAATTTGAACTGAAAAATTTTCTAAAAGATATGAAATTATACTTTGTGTATAATGAATAATAAATAATAATTATACTTATTTTATTATACTTTTTTGATATTTTATATAACCTATATTGCAAGTAAAATTTTTTTGTTTTCAATTTTTGTAAAATCATAGTGTGGTAATATTATAAAAATTATCGATATTATATTATTACTAGGTACGTAGTATTAAATTTTTTGTTTGTATTTTACTAATTTATATCAATTATTATTATATTATATTTGACTATGGATGGTTTCCCGTAGCTTCATTAGCGACAGGTCGTACCATATCATCATTATCTATCATTGTTATTACATATTATTATTTAATATTTTTATTTATACCACACATGCCTATCCGTGCTGGTCTCTAAACTGGTTACTACAATGTTATAATATTTAACCAAGTAATAATAACCATGTCAATTCTAGTAGACCACATATTGGGAGACAGCCAAAAAAATAATTTATTAAATGTTAGTTTTAATTGCCAGAAATTTTTTTTAAAAAAAGAGCAAAAAGACATTAAAATGTATCAAAATTTACATTATTATAGAATCAAAATTGAATTTATTAGAACTTACTTTAAACTTATGTTAGGATTTAGACATAATAAATTTTTAGCCCTATAGGCTATAGTCATTTGGATCTGGTTTTACATTATTAGGGAAATTAAAACTAAAAAAATTTTATTATGCATTAACCATATTCTTGACATAACTTTTAGTAACTAAATCAGTAAATCAATAGTAAAACTATTAAAGTTATCTGATATCATATTTAATTCAAAAATTTCTTAAATATTTGTATTAAATAAAATAATTTTAATATATTTTAATTACAATACTGATGTTAGTAGTTAACCTAATGATATCTTAATATAAAAAATAAAACCAAATGCTTATCTAAATATATCTAATAAATTTGTTAATACAAACATTTTTTTGCATAATATTATAATTTATTTCACTATTATACTAATTTAAAATCATTTGATTTTTTTTTAAATTTTAAATGTCTGTTTATTACATTAATTACAGACCAATTATGCAACTCAAGAATATTTACTGTCTAAAAATTATATGTTTAGTTTTATTTCTTATAAATTATAAAATTTTTAAGTGATAAATACAAGCTATGATTAGCAAACACATTTTTGTGGTATGTCAATTAATAATTCTATTCAGTAGTGATGAAACAAAAAATATTGTATTTTGAAGTCGATTAATAATATAAGTAGCACAATTTTAAGACGAAAAATATTTATATATTTACAAATCTTACCTGACTAAATAAAAATTTTAATAAATCATGTTTAACATCAAATGATTAGGTAAAACTCTAAATTTAAAAAAAATTGAATCAAATAAGGAATAGTAATAAAAATAAAATAAGAAAAAAAATTGAATTAAATGATTAATTTATCCAATTTTCTAATTATTTTCTTAAAAAAAATATTAGATTAAAATGATACTGGACACAGCCCACTAACACAATTGTTTAGTAGAAGAGAATAACTCTACCACACAAAAATGCATTGAGTAAAATCAAACAAGAAAGGTTTTTCAATAATTAAAAAGTGTGATGAATAAATAATATTTTACCCACTATAATCTTATTAAATTAAAATAACTTTTAAATGTGATTTAGAATCACATTTAACAAACAACAGTCTTTTTTTAAATTAATATTTGACCAGTATAAAGCTTTTACTGATTTTAGGAAATAATATTTAGTCAGAGATGTAATGCAATACACAGTTATTAAAACGAACATAGTATAGTATAATATGTATAAGTAATGGTAAAAAAAAAAAAGTGGTATTACAGAAAATCATGGATTGTTAGTAATTAAGTATAAAACAAAAATACATCATTGAGCAAACCTCATTTTTCAAACTTGACTGAATAAATATTAAAACTAAATGATATTAAATGGCTATAATTTAATTCAAATCAAATAGGACTACTGACTAGATAATTTTAATAAACCTAAGCTAAATTAATTTATTGAAAACAATAACAAAAAAAATATTACGAATATAATATAATTTGATGTAAGTAGAATTATAATTCAAATTTATGATTAAGATGTCATAATATATATGAACATACTATGTATGAGTATATTCAATGTTTAAAAGTATTAAACAAGCAATATTTGTTGTTAAACAAAAATACCCAAACTAGATGTTTGCTAAAAAAAAATATTCTAAATGTCATAAGAATATCATAAAATCTATTTTAAAACATCAAACAGAAATTGGTGCAGTTCAAATAAAACAATTCACAGTATTAAGTTATGTAAGTTATTCCGAAGATAATAGTATACAGTATACTTAATGAAAACAATAAATACTTAAACATAGATAAAAAAAAAAATTAAAGAATTTAAAGAATTAAATTGCAAAATATAACAATTTTCACAAGATATAGGAGGATTTCACTATTTAAAATATCAATATAATTATTCGTATAATTAATGTATAATATGTATTACTGAATAACACAGTTTTTATTTTGATGAATCAGACCAGATCGATTGAGATCCCTTACAATTTTATCATCTTCTTCAATTCTGATAAAAAAAAGAAAATACATTTTTAATATTACTTTATTTATAATTTCACTAAATAAATTTCTTAAAATTTCATAAATACTACTTACGCTCTTTCTTGGGAATCTAAATGATGTACTAACTCATCCCGTTTATTGACAATAGTCACTAGTTCTGCTAA